TGTGTATGTAGATGTATATATATATATACACATGTAGATAGATAGATAGATAGATAGATAGATAGTTAGATAGATAGTTAGATAGATAAATAGATAGATAGATAGATAGATAGATAGATAGATAGATGGCTAGCTACGCAGGCAGGCAGGCAGGCAGGCAGGCAGGCAGACAGGTAGGTAGGTAGGTAGGAAGATAATGATAAGTAGGTAGGTCGGTGGATGGATGGATGGATGGATGGATGGATGGATGGATGGATGGATGGATGGATGGATGGGATAGCATAGGATGGGATAGGCTAGGATGGGACAGGATAATAGATAAACAGATGGGATAGACAGATGGGTAAGTCCATAGATCGGTAGACAGACAGATAGATAGATTGATAGATAGATAGATGGCGAAGAGGATGTTGACTCTCAGACCCTCAGGCCTAAGCCTCCCAACATTTTGTGCGGAGATTTCGGTTTATCCACGACCACAACGTGACCTTACACAACTTGGTATAGCGACTCATTATGCAGCCAGCTGGGCTTGCTTGGCCGCACCACCATATCGAGTCTAGATTTTGGACCTCACGAACTCATAGTGTAATTAGCAAGCATGCCAGGAAGGCCAGTTTCGATGCAAAGTCCCTGCTCGACGCCGCCTCCGAGGACGGCCTCAACGTTCGGTTAGGGTTTAAGGTTGTTCGTCCCCCCAGGGCGAACATCAGGACACGTTGTGAGTTGCCGTGACCATGTGCACAAACTCCAACCCTGAAGCCCCCAACGCTGAGAAGCCCTGAACCCCTAAACCCTAAAGTCATGATCTTGTCACATTTAGCTTTTCATGCATCCATCCGCCTGCCTATGTATGAGAACCCTGAACCTTTGATCTCCAATTCCGTTTCATGTACACATACAAGCGTAAGCTTATCGAACCCCATGCCCTGAATCCTAACTCTAGTGTGATCAGTAATGTGCTGTTTTTCATCTTACAATACCAAATACCCAAAAGAACCACCTAACCAGTGTAGCATCAGAAGGCAGCTGTTTCTCAACTGTCGTCCGATGGCAACAACTCGCAGGACACCGCAAAGGGCGAGGCTCTCTCTGTCCTTCGATACTGAACCCTAAACCCTAAACC